AAAGAATGTGCAAAATATACTGCTATCTCCCACCTAGCACCAAAAGTATATTTTATGGAAGTATATATATACATTTTGTTTCTATTGCTAATGTCAAAATTTCATTTTAAATTTAACTATATATTATCTAATAATAAATCATATAAATGTGTGTGATGATCTTTGAAAATCATGTGACCATAAAATTTTTATTGCATATTTGAGTGGAAATTTTTTCTCAAAATTGGCCACTGTGGCGCAGAAAGTTGTGGGACTAAGTGACTTGCACTATACTTCTTCTTTACATCCTACGTGTTCACAATATTTATGTTCCTCACACTTCTCCCCCTTTGTTTTTACACTCTTGTCGCATGCTTCTATAAGGCATTCATATGTTGGCTTCCCATCACTTCCTAATCCAGTTGTGGTTGAACCAGAGCCACTTCTGCCCTGATTTTGAATAGTCACTACTGGCACTTCATTACTTCCTGATCTGGAAGCCGAGTTAGAGTTAGTTTGATTTGAACTTTGGCTGATTGATGTTTGTTGCTGTCTTTTTGCCTCCTCATACTTCTTATCCCAACACCCTTGACAAAATTGTGAGGACTCTCTACATTTTGGTTCATAACATTGCCAGGTCTCACACATCTTATTTACATTCTCCTGACATTCTGCACAAAAATCCCCTGATGCTTCTGCAGGTTGTTTACATCCAGACCATGCACATGGTGCTGGTTCTTCCTTACTATGATTTTCACAATTATGTTTCCCAGGTTTTCAATTCTTATGAAACCCAGGTACCTTACATTTGTAACGACAATTGCCACACCATTTTCTAACTTCAGGTGCTGTTCCATCACATCCGTGGTGAGCACACTGATTACAACTTCTACACTTTTCACCTTCATAATTAACTGGTTCTTGACAATTCTTTGACCAGCAATGTGGCTTAAAATAATTCCCAAATGTTCCTATTATATTGTATCCTTCAGTTAATCCACTGGTTGTAGAAGGGGCCATAGCGGCTACTCCTTGGAAAATATTGGATAGATTTCCAGTTGTTTGGCTTGCATCCATTGCTGTCATGGTGCTCATTTTTGTTGGGCTAGGTATTTGAATTTCCTTGTCTGGATCTTCTGGATCTGTTTCTGAGATTATTTCCCTCTCTTTATTTTTCTTTTCTGGACTTGCTTCCTCACTGCTTGAAGTATGTCAAACGTACAATGTATCTGACTCTTGGTCTGAGTTAATTTCATAAGGTTCAACAGGTTCCTGATTTGTTTTGTTCTCAAATTCTGTTAATTTCTTTGCTAGACTTTCCACTGTCTCATCTAAGGTTGTGAGCGAAACCTCCTTAGCAATTGCTGAAACCATGGCAAAACTATATTAAATCTTATCAAAAATTCTGTTGAAACTATGCCAAAATGGCGAAACCTCAAAATGCGAAACTCTGCCAAAACTCTAATAAACAATTAATGTGTAACCTGCTGAAACCCTGCTGATTGATTTCTGGATGAGTTTTGGCAAGCAACCTTACTTCACATCCATCACAATGATTATTTAATACATTTGATATCATCATTGACATAACAAACAATTGCATCACCCAGGTGGTAATAATACCAAGGCCATGCATAAATGAAACTTTTAATAATGCATGTCTACCCAGATCTCTGGTGTTCACAAGAATAAATAAATAAATAGGGGGGATCAAAAAAATATATTTCCCCTTCCCATTGTATAATTCCTTATGAATAATAAATCTGATGTTGATTGTAGGTGTCAGATTTAATTAAAATTTCCTATCACAAACATGCAATCGAATGCAATTGCACACCCTTAGCACCATGGAATTTTTTCCACAAGTAGGGGCAGGTTGAACATGTTGAAAGGCTTTGGACAAAAACATTCTCTATCTTCCTCTCAGACCAGGCTTAGCATTAATCGTTGATAATTAGTGTTTGTGTGATGATTGCTTTGTGTTATACCTCTCTCACTAAAATAAAGTTGGTGTCTGCAACTGATTCAAAATTTGCAACTCAGAAGGTTGCAACCTGGGTTGCTGTTTTGGATTTTCCCTGAATTCAGAGTTTTGAGTCCTGGGTTGCTGTCTTGTTGGTGGCATGCCGACAACCCTACCCCAATTCAAATAACAAATTTAGTTGGTCAAATAAAAATTTAGAGAAACAGAAAATTTGGGAAAATGATTAATTTATATAAAACATACCAAACAAAACCCAAACCATTTTATAACTTTTTTCTTGTTGACCATGTTGCAGACAAAGATATATATAATCATGCGATAATTTTAATCTATAGGACAGGGGACTGATTGGGCAAAACCCCATTCAAACCCCTACCTGAAATTATAAATTGGTTAGTATCAGAGAACAGAGAATTTATGAAAATAATTATACAAAACAAAAACTATTTTACAACTTTCCTCTTAACATCAGAGCCCAAATGTGATTTCAGGGTCACCAACCCACCCTGAATTGTAACCTCATGTGCTTGAAACGAGTTGCAGATTCTCTTAATATTTCTGCAGAGTTGCAACCTCTTTCTCTGGTCTGGGTGCTGTGTGGAAAGATTAGTGAAAGTGTCATTGACGATTGATGCAATCATGATAAACTCCAGGGCCACGTACCCCCCTAGAATTTAATTGCATCGTTGTATCTCAGGGCAAGCTAGTCAGATTAGCCTTTTGTACACAAGGAAGATGTGAGAATGACTGTAAAGTGTTCAAGGCAGCGTGCGTGCATGCTTCAACATCTGCTAATTTCCAATAATCAAATGTTGCATACTTGAATTGTTTCTTTTTCAACGGTGTGCTGCCTTGACATCTTCTTTTAATTAATTATATAATAATATAATATTAATGTTAATAATATTGATATGATTACAAAAGGCCAAATACCAATTGTTTACCATCTTGATGAGAATCTTATAATTACCCAGCAAGATCTGCTCCACGTTTGATTTAAAAGACATATCAATGCAAATTAAAAAAAAGTTACCTCTGGTTAGTTATTAACACTTCTCTTTTAGGAGAACCAATCATGCTAAACAACATCACTCACGTTTTGTCACCTTGGACTCTGTCAAAAAAATAAATTGTTTTTCCAAAAAAAAAGGTCGCATTGACAAAAAAAAATCTTTGTGCAACACCAAGTGCCAATAATAATAATATGTTATATACATTTTTATTTTTTATTTTTTTCAAAAAAAAAATGTATCAATCTAATAAGAAAAAAAGACAACAAGAAACTGGATGCGAAGAATATTATGGGTAAGTGTTTTAAGAATGGTGGTGGTTGTTATCGCCACTTGTTGTCACTCTAGTTGATTAACAAAAAATGAAAAAAGATCATCAATTGGAGAGTACACTGAAAATTCTGCCAATGTTGTAAGTAAATAATGTTCTTTTTTTTGATTCGTAGGCTCATTTTGATTTAATGAACTTTTAATTTCATTTTTTATAGTTAATTTATGATAATGACTATAAGGAGAATGATAATGATATAATTACTGTTGAGAGAAATGCCAATGAAATTGTAAATTTTAACTCCAATAAAGACAACTTTCTAATTAGCCTTTTAAGTAATTCTTATACCATTGTTTACAGATAATTTTGTCTGAAAAGAGCCTAGAAGACATCTGGCAGTTAGTGATGAGTAGGCTAAAAGAGAATGAAATCAGATTGCAGTAAGTATTTGGACATATACTATATGATATCAACTTGATCTGATATATACAATTAACATTACATAATTAACAGGGCAATTGAATCTCGGATTATTGATCTTACAAATTGGACCGAAGTTGAGTGGACAAGGATTTTAAAAACTAATGATAAGTCAAAATTAATAAGATTGTGTCAGAAAAAGCTGCTAAGGGAAAAAATCGATAAGAAAGTCTTAGATTTCTTTCAGAAACTGCCAATTAATTTGGTATCTATATTTGTTATTTTGCTTTTAGATTGAATATTTCTAGATTTTGCAAAAAAAAAAAAAAATTTTTTTAGTGCTGGGCAAAATTAATTTCTAATTCAAATAATTGGTACACAACCAGTGTTCAAAATTCGACTGCGCCTTTACATAAACTAATCTAATTTTAGAAATTATCTGCCGTTAATTTCCATATTTGGTTAGTGCGTGCTGATTCCGCCGATTGAATTTCGAACAGTGTACACAACCAGTGTTGAAATTTCGTTGTGTAACCAGTACAAATTTAGAAACTATCTCCAAAAATTAAAAGGTTAATTGGTGTGTAATGTTACACCCCACATTCCCCACACTGAATTTTCAATACTGTACACAACCAACATTTTTGAAATTATAAGATTAACAAGTTTGGATTATAATAATTATATATAGAGAACTCTTAATGACCTCCGTAAATGGGAACTTGAGCTTGAAAGTTTTGGTTCAGAGGATGGAAAACTAGCCTCTCAAATTGTCTCATTCTTGTAAGTTACATTTTAGTGTAGTTTACTCTATAACTTAAAGTTGCTAACTTTTATTTACAGACATAAATGTATTAGACGCGAAGTAAATCTCTTTTTAACTCCTCTTAGGGAGCATGACTAGAGCTCCGAAATGGGTCAGGTCGGGTCATGATTTAATTGACCCGGGTTTGACCTGGGTCAACATCTGTTATAATTGTCTTTAAAAGTTCAAAATTATTTTTGAAACTAGTATAGATACTAATAAATGGATAAAAATAAATGG